TCTGTGTTCCTTCACTGTGATGGTGGTGACACGGTCCATGCTACACATTTTTCAATGTCATGGAATTGTAAATAAAGTTGATTATTTTTTCAAGAAGCTGAAGATGTAGGAGGTCCAAATCCAAAACAAGGGGCTGTGGTCACAGGAAGACAGGCTCTAGTGGAGTGTGAACTCGCTCTAGTGGAGTGTAAACTTCCACTAGAGAAGATGATTTTTACATTTATACATTTTTGTAGTGACTGAACCAGGGCCTTGAACATGCTTAGCAAGCAGTCTACCCTAAGCCACACCCCCGCTCCTTTTAATTTTTTTTTTTTTTTTTTTTTAATACCAGGGATGGAACTCAGGACCTTAAGCTTGCCAGGCAGGAGCTTTTTTCTGTCTTTTTGAAACTAGGTCTCGCTATGTAGTTCAGGCTGGCCTTGAGCTCTTTGTAGCCCAGGCTGCTTTTCTTTTCTTTTTTTTTTTAATGTATTTGGTACAGAGTCTGCAGGGTCTACAGGGTCTTACTACACAGATTGGATTTGTAGTGATCCTCCTGTTTTCAGCCTCCCAAGCCCTGGGATTACAAATGCACACGCTACGCTGTTTCAATCACAGTCTCAGCGCATGCCTCAGGGGCAGGGCACGGCATCGGCTGTTGAAGCTGGGCCACTGTGCTCTGCCTAAGCAGGTGCTGTAGTCCACTGAGCTATCTGGCTGGCCCTTGCTCTTGAACTTGAAATGATCCTCCTGAGTGCCAGGATTATAAATGTGTGCAACTATGGATTCTCAGTTTCCTCTTTGAAGAAAAGTGTAGTGAGAATCTCCATCTCCTGCCCTGCTCTGTCTGGGCCCCAAACTCTGGGTCAGTCCTGTTTGAATACCCTTCCTTCAAGGCGCTGGAGTTTAGCTCCAGCCACCCAGGCCAAAACCTCAGTGTAGGCTTCTGTTCCTCTCTTTCCCTCATAGATCCAAGAGACTGCATTTCAGCATAAACATTTTCTAGTTTTCTTTCTATAAACCCTGCCACTCCCTAGTCATGCCTTTTATTAATTGCAAGAAATGGCTTCCTACTGACAGAGCTCTTTCAGACCTCCTGGCTGTGTTAATTCACTCTTCCCTGAGCATGTGGCTCACAATCAAAATTTCAATCAACCACAGCCTGTCCCAGCACAGGGACAGCTTCCTGCATGGCACACCTCTTCCCTCACCTAAAGAAGCCTTCCTCCATCCCTCCAGATGCTGCCAGCGCCGTCCCCAGCCTTCCTTCCTTTTTTTTTTTGGTGGAACCCGGGATTGAACTCAGGTCCTGGCAAGCGCTTATTCTGATCTATCTCCTCAGCCCCCTTCCTTCTT